GTTAGCAGTCACTTTGACCCAATGTTTTTGACCATTTTTTGCAGAAAATTTTTAATAAATACACAATTACGCATTTGCACGAAAACATGCAGATACTTGTTGATTTTGCGTGAATTTCTGTGATCATGGAGTTGTGAAAAGCTGGTCACTGAAACTGTAACTTGTTGCACAAGTAAAGTCTTTGCAGATGCCATTCAATATCATGTCATTTCAGTGTCACATCTTTGCTCTTAACAGACTCATTTTAGAGCTCTCTCCATCTGATATCCATCAAACCTACATCACAGTTTTTCAGGTGTGTACGAAACAATTATTGCAGTTTTTATTTGTTGCTGTTGTTGGATTTTTAGAGGTCAGCCTAGTAGACTTTATATTATCTACCTGCTACAAAACACAAGTGTTGTCCTGCTTACTGCCTTGAACTCGCAGCTGGACATTCTCCACCAAGTTTTCCAGTTGAAAGCTGAATTCGTCTTCAATCAATCACAAAGTCATGGCATGTCGTCAAGGTAGAGAAGAAGCATAGAAGCATCACACTAACTAACACCACCATTTTTTATTCATCTTGTCCTGAAATGTTCCAAATGCACCTTGGTATTTTTTCATGGATGCCATTTTTTCCAGTTGCTTTCTTGGTGTTCAGTCATGAACTCTGACCCTAACTGAGACAAGTGAGACCTGCACAGGCATATGATGATGTTCTGGGTTGGGTTCTGAGCTCGGTGAGCCTTTCTGTGTCATTGGAATAATGTTTGTGAGTTTGTGAAATGTCATCACTATGCCATTTTTCATTTATGGTTAATAAATTATTACTATTATTATTATTGTTGTTGTTATTGCTACTATTTATAGTTCTAGTGAAGACTTTGTAATCTCTTCCAGACTTATGGATGTAAGTCACTTTTTTTCCCTTTCTTCTTTTTATGTTGTATTACTGGGATTTGTTTCATTCTACACGTCAGGCAGTGATAAAGCATGAGTGTACCAGCTGATGTTAAGAAAGAAAATTTAGTTAATTCCAGCTAAATGCAGATTTTACAGGGGGATGGAATTTTTCCACAGTGGGCCAGCTTTAGTGAGCAGTGTAGAAAGAAACAAGCTAAATGCATTTTTTTTGTACACAGTAACTGATCGAGAGTGCTAGGCGGTTTCCCTCTTTTAACACAGATCTATATATTGTGTTCGGAGGAATATATTACATTTAAAATAGATCATTTTTCTGATGCTTCTCTTCATCTTTTCTTATATGTGATCTAAAGCTTATGATGTACAATCACTGACCATCCAGGCCCTGAATGTTTGAGAATATCTCTGATGTTTGTCTGAACAGTTTGATTGAACTCACAAAGAGGTTTGGTTGTAGTTTCATGCTTTGTTTGCTTTGCTTCATGGTTTAAGCCCTAAGGCAAGCTAATCCCAGACCAGCTAATGTGGCTCTAGAGTGCAACTATGAGAGAACATCACATACTTCTTAAAGTTTTTTTTGTTTTATTTTTTTGTTTTTTTACATATACCATATTTCTTCTGATTATCTGCTTGTAGCTTCTGTACTAAATCACCACTATATCCACTTCTCTGATTTTCTTATTTTTTTCTTCTACATTCTGATGCCGATGTTAAGTCTAAATAAAAACTCTGTCAGTTAAACTTGTGTATGCAAGTGTGCTAATGGCCATACTTGAGCATGATTGACAGCGATAAGACCCTCCTCCTGGCTGCGGGGTATTTCTGTAGTTTGCACAAGGAAACTGAAGAGCTTGTTTTTTATTATAAATAATCTGTCTTATACTATGCTGTCACAACATAGTAACAGTTTTAACAAATATGTAAAGAAAACTTTTTTTTTTATTAACTGCAGATTTAAGTTTTCAATCAAGAGGAAGGTTTTATTTTACATAAATTTATGTACTTAAGAAAATACATATTGTTAGGATCACACTTGTTGAGTGATAACAATTTTGTTTGAATATAGACAGATGAATATCACCTCTATACTATTTATAAAAGAATTAAACATTTCAATGAATGCAAATTTCACTATAGTGTCAACTTCTTTCTCCTGTTTCAAGTCTTTGTTTGCCTTATCTGCAGAAACAAAATGAACTTTCTAATTAAATTCTGAGACTAATTTCCACAGCTGACCCAAGGCATTACCTTCCGGGAAGCGTCTTTCTTCTTGTCTGAATGAAATGATGGAAACAAACTGAGGAAAAAGGCAGTGCAAAAATATTTCAAGTATAATTAGTTTGCTGGTCAGAGTCCTGAGGAGATTTAATAGATAACGGCCTAATTAAAATCATAGATATTGAATTTATTATTTGCTGTTAATTGAAAAGTTGGTATTTGATAGTTTTCAGTTCACTGTTTGTATGGAATTGGTGTATGGCAGCTTTGACAGGGTAATTTTGCATGGTAGAATAGGTCATGCACTAAATACTTCCATACATACTAATACTGAGTTGACAAATGGGTTAGATTGTTTGTTCCAAAGTAGCAGCAATTCTTAGAAAAAGCTATAATCATTTGATGGAAAACATGCCTGTCAATACATTCTCATTCTCCGTATATACTGTATTTGACAACAACATATTTTTGAATGAGTCTGAGTGAAAGTAACGGTTGAATCTTAGCCACAGAAAAGAACAGGGATGTAATGATGCATTCAAATAATCCAAGGGTCAACAACCAGGAGCCGCTTTGCTGTAAGTCCAACGAAACAAAAGTTAAGTGACAAAAGCTTCATGACATGTATAATTTCACAATTTGTTAAAGAAACTCATAATTAAAGAATTAGTTTCTTTAACTCATTCTCCAAACATTTATATATATTCATTAAAATGAATGAGTTAATTTTCTTTAGTTAAAAAAGTTAAGAGTTTGAAAAAAAATACTTCACAAAATCTATATTTGAAGCATTACTTTTGTGAAAGCTTCTAAAGCTAGCATTTTTTTCCTTTACATTTTGAAATATTTTTCATCCAATTTTCCAATTTTGACCAAAGTTATTTGGAGGCGGGTCCCAATTTTGTTTTATGCAGGAAGAAACATACCTGAACAAACCTGACCCTATTTGACAGATGTCATTTTCGCCGAATTAATTACATTTTTTGAAATCTTTAAGCCTACTTCACATAAGCAATTTCTTTATTCTACAGAATAAAGGAATTGGCTGTTTTCCAGTTATTTTTGTACAGTTCTGTATAGTTGTCTGGTTTGTAAGAATCTAAATTAATGTCTTAAAATCAGGAGGTCATTTTATGACTCAAGTGGTGGTACTTGACTTACATAGGCCTTTAGTAGGACATTCAAAGACACTTCACCAACTCGGAAAGCTGCTATATCGCACCATCAGCCTTAGTTTTGCCCAAAGACGAAACAACAGAGACGGACAGAGCAGGAACTGAACCGGTGATCCACCGATTGCAGGGCGAACTCTTACCGTCTATGTTTTTGCATAGAGCCATATTGATTTGGAAACGTATACCACTACAACAAGTAAACGTTATGTTGGGCTAATTTGACATGTGGCAAAATAGAAAAAAAAATAACCTGAAAGGAGTTAAATAGTTTTTATAACATTCTACGTATTGTGGTTTTCAGCAGGTACTAATCCTATGGATTAGTTTAAATGTCTGGTGTTTCTTTACATTGGTAAAAGAAAGGATTTTATTTATTGAATCTTGACCTTACAAGTCAAATATGCTGTGGTGTTGTGGTGATAAGTTTTTTCCAGAAAGCCTCCACCTCATGTCAACAAAGTAAAGAGGTCAACCTTTCAAGAAAAGCTTGGCTACCAAGCATATAAAATCCCTCTGATCTGTGCGGAAGGTCAGAAAGTTAAAAGCTGAGGTTCAAAGTGTTCTACTTCAAGATAAGGAGATTAAAAAGAGGAGGAATTTTTGAAGGAACTAAGCTTAGCTACAATATGTATGGCTGATAAAATAGAAAATACATGTGAGACTTTATTTAATGCTCAAGAAATTCACATTATCTTGTTTTAAAAATACTACTTCACTCTGTTTAGATGCATGGAAAGCTGATGGAGCTTTATTTATTATATTCCTGACTTATTATTGAATAAACTCATGTTATTTGTTTTTTTTTTCAATCACTTTTCTTACACATGTACATGTTTTTTAAGCAGTTCTGGTCTTCTTATAATTGAAAAGGATCCACATGCCACCGGATATTTAATCCACAACTTGTTTCTTCATTTTGATCTTTCGATTTGTTTTCTTTTTTGACAATGGTTATAATTTTACAGTAATTTTCCATAATTTGCATCTAAACTACTCTGTTGAAATGTGATTACAAATCTCCAGTATATATTAACTGAGATTTGGATTTCCAACAGTGAGTAAAGTGTGTTTTCTGAAAAAAAAAACAAAAAACAAGTACGCATATTTTGGTTCTCCATGTCTTCTGATCTTGGTGGTGGTTTAGCTGTTGTCTGCAGATAAAGTTCCCCCAATGACCCATAATCCAACATTTTAAGATGGGCTGTTATCTCCTACTGCTTTCTGCTGTAGTTTATTCACCTCTAAGGTTTAATAAAAACTTCTTCACTGACTTTTTGGAATTTTTGGCTGATGCTGTATTAAAATATGACCAGATTTTAATGGTGGAGGATTGTAAAACTCATATCTGCTCTCCCAAGAAGCCGTTGGTCAGTGATTTTCCTAATTTTGTAGATATTTTTTATGACTTTGTTCAGTCAGTCAGAATGTGAACACACATTGGACCTGGATTAACCTATGGATTATCTGTTGTTAATCTCTGAATTCCCAATTCAAAGCTGGTTGTTCATCCTCTGCTGAAGAAGCCTGTGTTAGACTCAGGTATGGAGTGATATAAATTGGATTACTGACTTAACATCAATCATCAGGGATGTTGACATTTTCAATTTGATACAAACTCCTGTCTTTACAGCAGTTTCCAGATGTGTCCCACATGGAGTGTAGGTAAAGTACTGACAGTGCTGTTTGCATGTATCTCATCAGATACCGGACGTTTGTGTCAGAAGATGCGGGGCCCAACACACTTGTTGCCACGGTGCTGGCAAAGGACCCTGATGGGGATGGGATCACGTACAAAATCACCACAGGAAATGATGAGGGCAATTTTGTCATTGACAGCCAAAAAGGTAAGACTTCTTCTCTATTATGCTTCAGTCAGTTGACAAGGTCACAGTGTTCTCTGTCCTCACGTGTTCATCACTCTAACACTGTAATACAGTGTTCATACTCTGTTTGTCAAATATTGATTTCTGATGTTGGAAGTTCTACTGCAGTAGCATATTGTCACCTTCCTGTAATATTGGCCAAAGTCATTTTTTGCCAAAAGTGATTTTGCCCAAAAAGAAAGAAAGAAAGAAAGGAAGAAAGAAAAAACAACTTCTGGCACAAAATGACTTAGGCCAATATTTTAGGAAGGGGAAGCTTTCCAGCTTTGAGCTTAATATATTGTGTAAAAGACAATGAATGCATATCAGCGAATCTGTCGCAGTCACATGGTCAATTCAGCGTACTTAAGTGACAGGGTGTGCAAAAATGTTGAAGTGATTCCAACGTGATACTATATGTTTCCATTAATATTTTATTATGCACATTTTGAAGTATTGAATTTGAGAAGGCTGAGGGAAATTGAAAATTTCAAAATGACTTCCTTAATTTTGGCATAAGTTTGTGTTCGCTTGAGGTGGTTTTTGGCTATTTCTTAAAAGAGTAAATGCGCTAAAGGGGAGATGGAAACACATTTGCCGGATAAGTGCTGAAGTAGAGAACTCTCCCAGCCCAAACGTCCAGCACAGAGGACAGGACTTTCGGCCTGGAGCAGCCAGGGAGAGGCACTCTAGGCTGAGATGGGAGTGGAGGAATTGTCCCATCAACTGGTGGGTTGATGGGACGAAACTCTGAATAATCTCAAAGTTTAAAACTCCAGCTCAGAGGAGAGGACTCTCCAATTTTCTGAGATGTGTGGTCCATGATGGTTTGCAATCTGAACATTTTATTTATTATAGCTATATATAGCATCAACATCTGATGAAATCATGCTTTGTGGAGCCTGGTTGAGTTGCCCCAAACCAGTAGATGGAAACTTGAATTTGCATTTTCTTGTTTCTTTCTTTTTCTTTTATTTTCTTGCAGCGTTTTAAAAGTTTGGTCCAAATTCACATAGATAGAAGTGTAGCTGTCATAGTCCCAGACGGACTGGTCAGCATATTTTTGATGTTGAAGTTGAAAGGAGAATGACCAGGCTGGTTTGAGATTATACAGAGATAACAGTATTTCAGCTAACCACTTGCGACATCCAACATATACAGAGTACCAACTCTGAAAGCACTACAACAATATAATTATGGCATATTTAACACAGTTTTGGAATAATTGGACAGTTGGATTAAAATGCTGTTACATGGTCGGATAAACTCAAGTTCAGCTGTGAGAACAGAATTCAGTGCAAGCAAAATAAAAGCATGGAGCCATCAACACTGTCTCAAATGCAGTGTATGGGTGAGGAGATTATTTTCTTGTAACACTTTGAGCACCAACTGACATTAAATATCCCAGCCTTCCTCAGTGCTGTTGCTGAGCATGTGCTGCCCTTCGTGACTGCCCTGTACCCATCTTGTAACAGCTACTTCCAGCAGAATGATGTGTCATGTCTCAACACTCAAAATTCTCAAAGTGATTTCTTGGAACATGGTAATTAGTTGGGTGTCCTCAAATGGCCTCCACAGTCACCAGATCTCCGTCCAATAGAGCAGCTCAGGGATGTGGTGGAATATGAGATTTGCATCATGGATGTGGGCCGATGTGGACCAAAGGCATGTCGGTGCGCCTGTGTGTTGCTGACCTACGGCAATCATCCAACACCTTGTAGAATCTACGTCATGAAAAACTGAAGGCAGTTGTTGCCATAGACACTTCTCTGTAAACGACACTGACTCACCTTTTTGTGAAGCATATGAGTCCTGACAGGTCAAGTCATGATGATATTAGTATATCACCCAAAGTGTTAGAAGTGTTCCCACAACGTCTTGGTAACAGAGCACCCTCCCGGGGTTTATGCTCTCACATCTTCACTTCCTCTGAGGCAGGAACCACATGAAATAGGAAGCTGGGTTAATGGCACTGCTGTCTGTCATCTCTTCTGGATGCTGTTTCATACATGTTCATCGTTTCTTTCGACTGTACACCCATTCTGAGTCTTTATATCACATTATAGGGTAAAACGAGGACCTTTTGGAGATTCAATTACTTAAGACTTCAAGGCATAATTCCCTTTGTTCACCAGCAATGACATTAACTGCCAGCCGATAGCAGCTGTGTTTTTTTTTTTCCATGAGAGAGAAGACTTGAAAGCACTCAATTTCATTTGTTATCACATGACTGCAGACTCTGTTTGCTATTGATCTTGATTATTTCCTGTTGAGTTTTACCACCAAGACCCAATTTCTAAATGGCATTGGTTGTATACAAAAAAAACTTTTCATTTTAAGTTACCTTTAACTAAATTAAGTTATTAGAGGGTGTGTGTGAATGTGTGTGTGCATGGTTGTGTGTCTTGTCTGTCTCTGTGTTGCCGTGCGACAGACTGGCGACCTGTCCAGGGTGACCCTGCCTTCCGCCCGGAACGTTAACTGGAAATAGGCACCAGCAACCCTCCTGACCCCACTAAGGGACAAGGGTGAACAGAAAATGGATGGATGGATGGATGTTCTTAAAGGCAGAAAGATTTGTGAAGGATTGTGTGAATTTTAATTTGGGATGGTTATAATATGTTTGTTTTTCATCAGCGTCTTTTTCTGCACGTTTTGAAGTATCGCATTAGAAAAGGTTTATATAAATGGCAAAATTCTAAATAATTTCCTTGATTTCGCAAAAAAAGTTTATACGCTTGCTTGCGGTGAGTTTTTGCTTTTCAATAAATGAGCTTAAACACTAAAGGAGAGATGCAAACGCATCTACCAAAAAAGTTTATAATGAAGGGAACGGTAAAAGTTGTGGACAAAATAACAGCAGTCCAGTAAGCAGAACAATGTTTGTAACCCATATGTTGTTAAGCTGTAAGTAATTTTTCAATAGGTTGAAATAGGGCTTCATGATATTTAGCTTAGTTTATTTTGCTGAATTAAAGTAAAGATCAAAGAAGACAAGATCAAGAAAAAGAAACTTACAAAAAAGCCTCACCCCAAATATTCCACAGAGCCAAACCTGGACAGGTCGCTAAGACATGTTTCATTTCACTTTTAATTTTGGTGTTTTATCTTTACTTATAAGCTCCAAATCTTTGAGGTTAAAAGATCTTTCTACTGATATCTTTATCTTTAGCTTCTTCTGGAAATGTTTCTATTGCTTCCAGCCAGAAGCAACATGCTGGTAAAGGGATAAAATTACCTTCAACCTAATTTTATCACCGGCATGAAGACGTTTGGTTTTAACTGTGTGTTATCTTTTCAGTCCAATATTAATTTAATAAAAATCTCAGATACATTTAAGCATCAAAATATTCATTTTATTTACATTCCATTTAGTCTTTTCTAGTCCTATAGGTCAGTTTTCAACTACCAAACTATAGAACTATTCTTATTTTAAAATATCAAAACGTTACATTTTCAGAATTACATTTCTTTTTTTTTTTTTGTACAGACCAAAAATGTATTTTTCTTTTCTCCTTTAGACCTTAGTATCTGTAGGTTGATGTTCTGGGGAACAAACTGGGGTTGGAACAGAGATGTAGTCCCTCCCAGGAGCTGATTTAGCATCAAATTTAGCATATTATCCTCCTTTAGATTCTCATATCGACCAGCTCCAATTGTGTGACAAACACTTCAGTTCAGCTGGTGTGAGACATTTCCCCTCCTCTTGCATCAGATTGCAGTTATCCAAATCTGACATTGCGTCGCAAACACAGCAGGATCAGAAAGGACAAAGAGAAAATGGAGAAAGGATACCCTCTGTCAACAAGTTTTAAAAGTACAGGGAAGGAAGACAATCCTCAGAATCCAACATCTTTGTGATTTGTGACATTGCATTCTGGAGGGTTTTCAAAATGGCTCATTTTCCAGACACCAAAAAACATTTTCCAATTGCCAAAAACCGGCTAGTGTTTTTTAAGTGCTTTGTATTTTTTTAGAAGCAGTAGAAACTCAAATGCAATTACAAAGACATTCAAAGTATGAATATTGCATCATAAGTCTCCTTTAACACTGAAATTCTTGGAGTCAGATTTTACAGAGCATCTCTTCCACCTGAGCTGTGGGTCTCCAGCAGCTCCCCCAAAGTTATGGTGAAAACCTTGACTGCTTCTCTGACCGATGCTCTCCTCCACTGGGATACCTCAGGGAGATCTGTGATACTTAGGATATCATTTTAATAAGAGGGTTTGCACAGGATTTTATTTGGGAGCACCAGAATAGAGGCGGTTGAATAGATAGGCATGCCCCACTTTTCACAGTTCTATCTGTAAAATAATAATAATAAAAGAAATAGCAAAAAAAAAAAACTTTACTTAGAATTTGTCCTATTGGTCATTCACAAAATTGCAACATTACATAGTGTGTTTTTTTAAGTTGAAGGGTTAAATACTAATGTGATTTCTGCTTTTCTTTGTCACAGACATAAAGATGACCTTATAGTGCCATGTTGCTATAATGATTAGCATTTGAAACATGTTTTTTACATATTGTACATATTAAACACTGTAAGCTGTGTAGATTTCCTTAAATCTTGTATCAGATAACCTTTAGTAGTAATGGGTTTACAGTGAATTAACCGACAGCCCCAGAAATGCATAAACACACATGCACACACACAAACAAACACACACACACCCAGAGGCATTATTCAGCCTGCCTGCAGTAAAATGGGAGAAGCAAAGTGTGACACCATAAGGCCTATAATATGATCCAATATCTTGTTTCAAAGAGCCCAATATTTGGTCATTAAAAGTATTTTACGATTCTTATAATGGAAGGCGAGCACATTGTGTTCGTCCCTCCCTCTCCAGCTCGTCTCATTCTCTCTGTGCTGCTGATGAAAATCTCTTCCAGCCTCTGCTTCCCTCCTGTTGCTGCCTCCCCCCATCCCCCGTCACCCCGCCCCCTGTCTGTACTCATCCTAAATGTCCGACAATCATTCA